AGAGAACCCCAAGGACTCCACAGTTCAACCCTGAGCTACACATATTCTCTTCTATTAATAAGAAGCTCCCTACTGGATCAGACTAAAGTTGTCCAGCATTCTTTTCCCAACAAGCAGCCAACAGATATCTCTAGAAACCCATAAGAGAGCCCAAAGACAGGAGACCTTCCCTGTGTATGTTCCTTATATCTGTTATTCAAAGGTAGACTGCTTCTGTTCATGATGGTTCACTGAAATATAACCACTACCTAACATTCTGAAGCAAAGAGGGTATTTGAAGTGAGACAGAGAAGGAATCCTTTTTACCATTCTTGCCATGATAAGATTAATAGTTTAATGTGTAATCATAGAAATCCCCAGGCTGGTACAGGGAAGCATATCACTGCAGAAAGTCTGTATGTATTTGCACATACATTGTGACTCATATAGAAAAAGGCAGAGCTTAAATTGTAATGTTGTAAGTTATCTTTCATCATTTTGGTGTCATTGCAGTTAGGAACAAATGTCTATAGTGTCGCAACAGATAAAACTAATCCATATAGTTTAAATACCTTGAGTTAATGGGAGAAAGTAAACTATAACAACTTTACTTTACCAGAATGGTGGATTGAAATGTGCATAATGATGTTTATATTTGTTTATTTATATATATATAATTTGTCACTACCCATCTCATTAAAAAGCAACTCTTTTTAAGGAAGTATTACTCTAAAAGTTGACCAGACTACCCAATCTAAGTATGTAATGGGAAGGAAGGAAAGACTATTTCATCTTTCTCTTTTTTAGCCCAAGACCTGTTATAGGTTGCCTAAGCTAGATAATGGTGAGTTTAAGAGTACCTGATGGGTGAACTGCACTTTCATCTCTTTTCCCCCTTCATTGTCATGAAGTCCTTTTTACTTTCAGAGCAACCATCATTACAGTTATACCTACAATGGTGTTTTTGTTAAGCGTATACCATAGTTATAATTAACTACTTGCAGCTTAGCTCAGATTTAAAGAGGACAAGTACAGCAGGAGGACAAGGTGAGCATCTGAACTGCTTCTGACTTTTTCATAGTAACTGGAGGGCCAGGCAACATTCTTTCTGCCCAAATCTGAACTAAGCTTAACTTCATGATTGGTAAGGGCTGGATTTGCATATCATGCTAAGCCACAATATACTTGATTTGGTTTTGGTTTAGCCTGTCCTCTAACCCAACAACGTATGATTAAACAAATAATGGCATAGTACAACGTGTCAACCGGACAACATATTTGCTTGTAAAACAGACAACTGCAGAAGCCAGTGTCCATGGATGTGATACCAAGCAAAAAGGAGACAGACATCTTGCAGCTGATCAACAGAGCTCAGCTTTTACTGCTTATATATAATTGAAGCTAAAAGATATTGAACAGGATATCGATATTTGCATATTTCTTCACATCAAATAATCATTTCCAAAGAGATTCATTTGTGTTCATTATTTGCAAACAGTACATGATCAAACATGGGGAATAATAACTCCTAAGAAATAAGTAATGATGATTAGTGACAGGTTTTGAACATGCAACCACAGATGCCATCATTCACAAAGAATATTTCTATTTTTCTATTTTTCTATTTTGATTTTTCTTTTTGTTATTATTCTCTATTATACTTTGAAATATATATACATCGCTTTAAAAGCAAATGAGCTTTGATTTACTGATTCGCTGATGTCACCAAGTAAAATTCTACAATTAATCCCCAGTTCATGATCTTACTGATTACCCCAGTACAAGCTTTCAACCCTACTTTGACTCTCCTTGGTTGAACTGAATTAGCTGCATCTGGACAACACCACTTTCTTTTCATTACTAAAACAAAATCATTCCTGTAATAAATGTAGAAAGAAAAATAAATGAATAGATCACTTTCATCACCGGTAGGTTATACGTGTGCTTAATCTTTTTCAATGTATTCCACATTCCATGCATGTTGCCTTGAGAAGAATGGAATGAAGTTAGTCAAAGAACAGTGGACTTTAGCCCTCCTATCAGGAAAAGTAAAGCAGCTGCCTCAGGAAAGTGATTTGGGGGGTCATGGAAGGGCAGAAAATGATCAGCTATTTAATTCATTATTGTTGTTTGACTGCCAGGAAGGGGAAGAATTTCCTGTGTCTGATACCAAAATAGCTTCATTGATCTTCACTTTTATGCACTTTCATTGCAAGGTGGGTGTGCATGCTATTTTCTACTTTTCCTCGGACATCAGACTATATCGGGCCAACCATATTTGCCCTCCCAACTATAGATAATTCCTCTTGATATAGATCAATTGTAGATGTTCTTGTAGAGAAGACCTGGCATGTTAAAATGAGCTTCACGGCTTTCCTGAACCAACGATAGGAAAACACATAAATCAGAGGGTTACAGGCAGAATTAAAGTAAGCAAACCAGATAAGAACATCAAACACAACAGGAGGGGTAATGAAATCCAGCAGACTGTCTATAATAGTGTCTACTGTAAATGGCAACCAGCAAAAGAGGTAGATTCCTACTGCGATACCTAAAGTTTTTGCTGCCTTCCTTTCTCTTTTTGCAACTCCTGTCTGATGCTGGCTCCCCTTGGAGATTTTGTTCATGTTGCTGATCTGTTTAGCTTGTCTAGTTGCCACAATAAATATTTTGATGTACAACCCTATCATGATGAGGCAAGGAAAGAAGAAGACCGGAAAGTTGATCCAGCCCCAGAGTTTGTTGAACAGCAGCTGACAACTCCCAATGCAGGGCATGTCTTGTAAAAACTGACCTAGCCCTTCCTCAATTCTTTTGCTATAAAGGAAGATGGAAGTGTAAACTACAGGAACCCCCCATCCCAGGGCTATGTAGATGCAAGCAACCCGTATGGTGAACTTGGTAGGATAGAGCAAAGGATCACAGATGGCACAGTGACGGTCAACAGAGATAAAACAGAGATGGAATATGGAAGTCAAGCAAAAGACTGTATCCAGAAAAGTGTGGAGCCGGCAAAAGTCATCCCCAAAATACCAGCAGCTCTCTACAGAGCGGATTGTGCTGAAGGGAAGGACTGTTAAGCCCAGGAGGAGATCTGCCAGGGCAAGAGAGAGTAGCAAGAAGTTAGTGGGAGTGTGAAGTATTTTGAAGTGGAAAATAGAAATCACCACCAACAGATTCCCCATAATGGTAAGTAACACACCAGCAGCACAGACCACATAAATGGTTAGCTGGACTCCAAAGGGATGTAGGGTTCTTGAGCAGGAGCCATTCATCTTAAAGCACAGCTGGACTGGGGTAGCTGCTTCTGCGGGAGAGCTCATTTGGCTTCAGATTGTCTTAAATTTCTTTCTGATGTGGCAACTTTCTCTAAAAAAAAAAAAAAAAGATTAAGTGAATCATGAGGCAGAGAATGTGATCCCCACACTGAGGAACATTAGTCAGAGCTTGCCTCCATGTTTGGTTGAAAGATAGCTACTGTAGCCTAAGGCACTGAATGAAAAATGTGTGATCGTTCCATCTGGTATAATCCCATTGGCTTAGTATTCAGCATTATTCAATTCTTTTCTTTCTTGATTTGTCAGCGTGGAATCATTCCTAGTTCTGATCCTTTACCATTGAAGAAAATCAATATGCATATTCCACCTGAAAGTATGCATTTTTATCTTGTTTTTTAAAAGAATCTATTAAAATGTTTGTATATATGTCACTTTCTTCCCACTTTTTCATTGTTGTAATTGTTGAGACAGTGAAATATTAAAGATAATCTCAACTCTGCTAGCTAGATGAACTTAGTTATAGCATCCAGAGGTTCTACACAAGTTTACCTATTCAGCTTCTGGAATAGGGTCTTAATGAAAGCAAGGAAGGAATTTTTTCATTTAATTTGTAATAAAGCTTTGGAACAACTGGGTATATCTGTATTGAAGGACTCTGCCTGGTATGAGAAGGTGTAGGGAGAACTAAGATGCATTGTGGGGACTCCTATACAAGAGTGTACTGGAGGAGGCTAAGGGGGATTCGAGGGGATTATCACAGCCCCTTTTCTAAAAAAATTAGTTTGATAAATTTTTACTTTACAACCACAGGAGGTGATGAGACAACGTGCAGAGGAGCACCAAGGAAGGATTTGTTCAGAGTAGTTTGGTCAAATCCTTGGGGGTGAAGCAACAAAGACAGATGCTACAAGAGTTACAACTTGATTCCATCTGAGGGATGCAAGGTGAGAGAGTATTTGTGGAAGATATCAGAGAAGGTGGGGTTGCATAGTATTACCTGAATTACTCTTGTCCCTCTCAACTAATCTGGCTCCAGATTAACATCAAGAAAGAGAAGAGAAACAGGATGTCTTTATTCTTCCAGACCACCAAGGAAAGTATGTTCTTGCTAACCTTCCCCATGCCATCTTGTTAGCAAATCACCAGTATACCTCCATGCTACATACACTCCTGGGTACTCTAACGTGTCCCTCCTTTCCTGATTTCTAACGTCCTCAAGTTTCCCACCTACCACTTTTTCTCTTTCTCTTCCCCTTCCCCAAGTATATATATGCATGACTGTCTTGTCATGGTTCCCCTCCCAACCTTACCAGGTTGCTTCCTGGGGTGATGGTGGTGGTGGTGCTGTAATTTTCCTTTTCCTTTTTCTTTTAACTTAAACAAGACTTTTGGAATGCTGCACAAATGCACCCATGCCCAACATCTTCATTTCCCTAGTGGACTAATAAGAGAGAAAGGAAGAGGAAGACAAGAAATTGGAGGAAGACAGAAGAGGAGCTCTGTTTTTCAAAAAGAAATAAGTGATACCGAAATCAGAGGCTCTCTGAACCGGAGAGAGTGCTGTATACATATGTATAAGAAATGTGGATTGTGCATGCGATTGTGCATTTGCTAAATGCTGTTTTCTCTTTGCTTAGGCTTGTATATCTTTTGCATTGTTGCAAACTGGGCTTTTTTTCCGAATGAAAGTTAAGGATTGATTATAATATCAATGAGAAAGCAAAGACTTTTTTGCTAAAATAACAGTGCAAATAGTTGGGGAAGGGAGATCCTGGTCCTCCCCCTGATGAAAACATTGTATTTCCCTCTCTTTCTCTCTTTTTCCCTTGTAAGTAGGACCTTCCTTTATTTTCAGTTCCTGCAAAAATATAAATAGAAAACCATCTTACAGGTACCAGTTACAGTGCAATTATTGATTCTTTAGCCTGATGTTACTGTTTAATTATTAAACTGCTAGTTTACAAAACAAATAAGCTGGGATAAAGAATTCTGCAGTATGAATAGTGTCTATACTAATTTGGAAATTCGGAAAAGCGGAAGTAAAGCTTCAACAATTAACTGAATGATGTGAGTACGCAGTTGATTGGTGTATTAAGAGACATCTTTTTTCAAATCAAACAACTTTTCAGCTTCAAGGCAGTATAAGCTAAACAATATTTGTTTGCATTGAAATGAGCTCAATGTGTTATTCAAATAAACATAGAGGCTTTTAAATCATAAAACTGCAAAAAAGAAGAAAGAATACATACTTTCTTGGCTTGGGGTTCAAATATGTAAATAGCATAGGAAAAAAGCTTACCTGCTAGAGTCCACTGTATTAATTTTCAAAGGCTCTCTTCATTGCATTACCTGAGAAACAGGAAATCAAGTAAGGCCTTATATAATCCAGTTGGAATAATAGTCCTCTCTAGTGAATAGTATATTGGAAGGTGTGGTCTTCAACATATCCATTCAGCAGCAATGTGATTCATGTGCAAGAGCCTGGAGGCTTATGGACCAGCATACTCCTTGATACTTAACAAATGGCAGCATAATAGACAGCTTCAGTCTATTTTCTGCCCTTTGGACCCGTTCTGAGCTGTCCAAAAATCTCATTCAGGTGTATTTTCCGGTGACTTGAAAAAGGTGTTCTGTTCCCACCCATGTTACTTTACCACATGTTTCTAGAACGTTCTTGTTTTTCCCCTTATCACAGAGGTTTTATCTAAATTAGACGACGATTGTTTCCAATGGCAATTCACACAGCCGTTGTTCTGTGGACATTGAGGTACTAATAACAGAGTAATCACATCTGCTTTGTACCTGTAGGCATAATAATAATTTATTAAACTTATTTGCTGCCCAACTCCCCACAACTCTGGGAGGTTTACAAATTGTTAGAAACAATTAAAAAAACAAAGAAACAAAATAAAATAAAAGCAAAAAGCATGCATTCCTTCAAGAGTAGTTGGTTACCCTAACCCCCAGGTCCTATGCAACATGTTGTTGCCTGCAACTGAGACAGGCTGGATGACACGGGCATAGCAGGGCATCAGGAAAAATTGCTTAGCAATAACTGTCATTGACCAAACTGGCTAGGTAATATTCTAGGTCAGTGTCTCTCAACCTTGGCAACTGGAAGACGTGTGGACTTCAACTCCCAGAATTTCCCAGCCAGCAATGTCTTCCAGTTGCCAAGGTTGAGAGACACTGACCTAGGTACTGTAAATACAGCAGACCTTAAAAACACTGTATGAACACAGCAGCTAATAATATAATAGTCTGGATTTCAGTCACTTTGGATTCAAATTTCTGCTCAGTCATGAAGCAAGGTAAAATAACTGATTTGTATCAATTTCTTCTGAGGGACTCAAGGCAATGTGTATGGCTCTTCATTTTATCCTCCCAATGACTTTGCAAGGTAGGTAGGGCTGAAAGCAGAAGACTGGCTCAAATAAGCATTATGGTTAGCTCAAGACTTGAACCTTTCACTTCCTGCAGAGAGACGATTCCCACCCCTCCCTTTTTTTCAGTGAGAACATTTTGATTCACTTTGATTCAGAATTAATGTGGGTGCAAATTATACACCTGCAGAGTCCTGCAGATATGCTCCCAACTAAAATAAGATTTAAAATAGTCTTCCCAAACCTAGTGGACTCCAGGTTTGTAGGGAAATCACAACTTCCAGATCCCCGCCAACAGGATTGCAAGTGGGCCATATTATGGCCTTTAATCCTAGCACATTTGGGAGAGCCTCAGGATGGGGTCGGTAGGTGCCAGCATCCCATCAATATAAAAAGTGAGGACTGATAAAATAACTGAACACAACTGTCTAGACCTGGACTTTCCCTGTCCCTCTTCCCCACCCCTGGCTTTGCGTTAATTCAGGCCTAACTAGTTCCTCATGCCGCATGGTAGTACAAACCAATAAAATAAGCACTTGAAGATTCAACATTTTAAAATACAATAGAGTTCCTGCAATGTCAGCCCTTCAAAGTAGTCCAGACAAGAAGCACAAACCATAATACTAACACTACCTTTATTGTAAGGTTACAGTAACAGAATCTTGCAAGTCTGAAAGCATTTATGCCCTCCTTTATTTTTACATTTCAGAAAACTAGGGAGGGTCTCTTCTGAGATGCTTCCTACACCCTTTTGCTTCTGTGGGCTAAGATACCTTTTGCATGACAGTTGTCTAGGCTGTGACTCTTCCTGCTCTCTCCCAAGATCATCCCCACTATTACATGCAACTAGACATTCTCCCACTGTGACCACAACTATTCATGAAAAGATCAATTTCCAGAGCAGACATTGCTTGAAGCAACATACCCTGATATAATGATCACTTCTCAGACTGACAGGATTTAGAAGATGGTTTTGTAAACTGGCAACTGCAAGCTCCTTTGTTATCAGTGAAGGATAACAAAGTTCACTGGCACACAGAAAGGGAGTAAAAGTGAAAAAGAAGCAGACTCCATCCTATGTAGTTGGGAAATAACTCAACTGTCAGAGTTCTTGTAACTCCAGCCTTTTCTTCTTAATAAATCTTCCTAAAGAGAATCTGTGAAAATCATGCTAGGTAAAGGAATTGCTGTCAGTTTTAGGCAGAGGTCAGGAGCCTGACCCATGGCTTGTTTTAACCTACGGTGTCTGATTCCCAGATACTGCTGATATGTCTTTCCTGCCATGGTACTGACATTCTACCATCAAGGGACAGCTTAGCTAATTAACAGCTTTCTGAGATGTCCAAGAAACATCAGTGTAGAAACAAATGAGTGAAGATTTGAAGCAGTAGGACCCCAGCTTTATAAATGATGTCCTGATGCCAATGGAGTATGTTGAATGTGAACTGGGAATAGACATTTAAAATAAACTCAGTTGGTTGTGGAACAATCCAGCACAAAATTGGTGTTGTCCTCCTGGTTTGTTTAACAAATGAGAGTTTGCGCAATTCCTGCTATGCACTTCATAGTGAGAGAACTGTCTGTGAGGTAGGTTGCCCTGAGAGAAAGTGTCTGGCCCAAAGTCACCCCCTGAGCTTCCAGGGCTGAGCTGGACTAAAGCTGGGTTTCCCTGTTCCTAGCTCAACATGCTAATCCTTAGTTAATCTGCAAATACATCTGCCTTCTGCTTGTTGACTTCCCATTGGTTGGCAATCATCATATTATAACATTCTTAATGGGGAGCAGAATCCTTACTTTTCCGTCATTATTGTCACCTTACATATTTATGTTAAGAAGCAACATTTGCACCGTTGGGGGAGTTTTTAAAATTCTCTGAGCAAACAAAAGAAAAGAATAAGTTTTAGAAGGTTGTCATAACTGAAGTATCTATGGGTGCATGTTATCATACATGTATCGGAAGTATCTAAAGTACTGAAAATAAGGCTGTTTCTCAACAGATTCATGATTAATCTTCCTTGTTTTTCACATAATTATTGTCACTAAGATTAAGCACATTACACACAACCTAACTTCATTTTAAACATCCAGTAAGTCTTTGTGTCCAGAAAAGATTTTGCTCTACAAATTCCATACTTTGGTTGGGACCAGTAAGGCCACAACAGTAGAGAAACATGCATGGCTCCATCATGTTCTCTCATCCTAAAACCATAAACAGAGTAAGCTGTTAATATTGACATAATATTACTGTCTCATGTTGTATGCAGTAAACAATGAAATGTTCCAAGGCAAATAACTCCCAGATATATAAAGCCAAATAGTTTAGAATTTGACAAAAGAGAAGCATCTAAGTTCTGGATGTATTAAAGTACATTCCCTAATAATAGGGAAACAAGGAAAAAATATAACTACACGTAATGGAAGAAAGTGTAGAAAGTGACTATCAGAGGAATAGATACAAATAGGCTGTCACAGCAAAGAAAATACAGAGGTAAAAACTTCCCTTGTACAGAACAAGATCTAATTGTCCACTGATTTCCAGTGATAAAGAAAGAACACATCTGAGAGGTCACTTGCTCACCCCATTCCCTAACATTAGTCATACTATAGTGTTAATATGTTTCTCAGTGTGCTTCTACTACATATATAAACTAAGGATAATGGTTCATGGTTATGGTCAAGCTTAGAGAAGCTTATGCTGCAATAAATCCATTAATCTTAGAAGTGTCACAAGATTGTGCTATGGGGGGGGCAACAGCTCCTCCTCTAATAGTGGTGATGTAGTATCGCTTCAAGGACTAAGAAATACCAGCCTCTCAAGGCTGAGACCAGCCATCAGCAATGTCTGTCCATCTAGTAAGTATCAACAGCCAGGAGATTCAGCGCAGAAGAATCTTGCCTGAAAATGGACCCTGTCATAATCATTCTAAATGCTTTGCGAAACCAAGGGTAAAATAAACCGTAAATGATGGGATTACAAGTGGAATTGAAATATCCCAACCACAGAAAGGCATTGTACAAGTCTTCAGGGGTCGTGAAATCAATGTAAGGGTCTGTAATGGTAAGTACAAAGAAAGGAAGCCAACAAATAATAAATGCTCCCATAACTATGCTTAAGGTCTTAGTAGCTTTGTTCTCCTTTTTGGTGGAGATTTTCCCTTTTGTGTCACATCCAGAGTGTGAGGCCCTAGAAACCTGAGCAATTTGCTGGGCATGTTTTTTTGCAACAACAAATATATGGAGATAAATGCCCACCATCACTGTACCGGGAAGAAAAAAGGCTATAAAGGAAGACATCACTCCCCACAGCTTATTAAAAACGAGAGTACAGAATCCATAGCAGTAGAGGGAGGCTACATATTCCTCAATGCCTTCCACATTTTGCTCTGAGAAAACAAGTCCAAAAGCAAACAAGAACGGGATGAACCAACTAATCGCTAAAAAACCTTGAACTACAGGGACAGTGATTTTGTTGAGGTAGTGAAGTGGGGTGCACACAGCATAGTAGCGATCCACAGAAATAAAGCACAGGTGGAAAATAGAAGTAGTACACAGCATGATATCACAGCAGGTGTGGAGTTTGCAGAAGACGTCTCCAAAGTACCAACAGGAGTCCACCGTCCTGACCATGCTGTATGGCATTACTATGATGCTGAGCAAAAAGTCTGTGGTGGCCACGGAGCAGATCAGCATGTTGGTTGGAGAATGCAGCTGTTTGAAGTGGAGGACAGAGAAGATCACCATCAGATTGCCACACATGGTGAGAACTATGGCTCCCACCATAAACCCATACATAACAAAAAGGCTGAGTGGAGATCTTATGTTTCTGCGACACGAATTATTAACAAACTCAAAGCAATACTGTATGTCCTGAGGGCTCCAGAGTTTGCTGGAATTCATAATGTGATGTTGAGAGACAAATACATCATTCAAAAGAGAACACAGGAGGTTCTGTGGAAAGAGAACACAATCAACAATAATCGGAGCTTGTGATAAATACAGGAACCAATGGCATTTTTTCTTTTTTGCAACAACCTATATATGGAGATAAATGCCCACCATTATCACATTCTGTTAATCTGAAGATAACCATGCGTGATTCATATACTAATCCAGGAGCTAAGTTTTAAGTGATTTCACTTAAACATGGAGGTCAAATTAAATTCTCTCACACTTCTAGCAATGCAATTCTACCACTGAGATAAGGCTCTTCTTTCTGAGAGATTTTAACTAAAGTAATTTCCAACAGATCCAGTACCATTATTTTAATAAGACAGAGTTATTGTGAAGTTCATGATAAATGCAGTGTGTTAATAAATGACACAGTACTAAAAAACCATGTTACTCACTGGTGGTTTTCTTTTTATTATTTTCCATAGTTTTATTTTTCCAAATGCATCTTGGCCGTTAACAGCTACTTTTCAAGGCTATTAAACCTTTTGTCCAATTATAGGCATGTCATGTTTTGATTCCATAGGCCATTCAGATAGTGGCTGATTGAATATCGAAATAGGGCGTCTGCTTATACTTCGCTGCTCCAGAAATGGGTGTCTGCTCACACAGACATAGAATTGTAAATTTAGACATGATTACTATAATATAAACAGAAGTACAATGCATCTCATATGGTTCATTCAAGGCTCCTGGTCTCCCTTCCTGTAATTCTTTCACTTTAAGACAGACTTGGATCAGCAGCCTTTCAGACAATGGATGCTGTCATACAGAGGATTGTGCTCTGTGAAGTAGGATGTCGGCCACCATGAGATGGAAGAGCAAAGCACGGAAACTAAATGTTCTCTCATGTATCTCCTAAGCGTATTCACAGGTTGGAATGTGAAAATAGCTTCTTCTTCTTTTTTTTGGTCACCAGATCTTTTGATGGTTTGGGGTCTTAGCAAAATACTTATTTGCCCTGACAATCCATTAAGAATGATGATGTCTCAGGGCATCATCTGAGAATATGCAAGGCAACAACCTTTCTTAAACAGTGTCTCTAGTGAGTGACTGGATGGAGGGACACCTCAGGTTCTATGATGGAAGACGTAGGATTATATACAGATTGCAGTTGCACTTTATTTTGTCGCACTCCATTGCAAATCCTGAATCAATTATTACTATTATTTTTATTATGGGCGTGGGTGCATGTATGTATCAACCGGCTCCACAGTGTGGCTTACAGTTAATTTATCAGAACTTTATAGTTTCTCTCTTATGAGGCAAGAACACCAAATCAACAGAAATGTTCTTGGGAGCGATATTCTGCTGAGCAGTTGGCTCTGAGAGGTTGTAGAAAAATAAAAGAAAAAGAAAGAAAAGGAAAACACAGCTTATGGGAGAACAAAGTACTTAAAGTTTAGAGAAGGCAGTGGGAAAAGAGGGTACGCTTCAAAAAAGTGAGATCCTTTCAGCGGGAAGGGTTTGACTGTTAAATAACTATTCATAGCATTGCTTTACTCCACATAAAAGGTTGTTCCAGACTGAACCAGCTTACTTCAAAATACTGCAAATGTACCTCTTTAGTATTAATTCCTGGCTGCCTTGAAAAAACAAGTATAAACTCCACTTACTGTATCCTTCTTAAAAGAAAATTTAAAAATAGAGGTATTTTTCTTGAAAGTTTGCAAATGTTTTGATTAACAAAGAATAAAGACATTTTTAATAAAGGAACATTGTTCTTGTATTAATCATTTAAGAAAGTATGTTCTTGGATACTTTTTTTTTTTTTTTACCAAAGTTAAGCTGGAGGGATTAAAACTTTACCTGTTCACGATTTTATTTCAGAATCTTGCTAGAAAATAGCATCTTGGTGGAAATTCCTGCTTCTGGTTTAAATGGCATGGATTCTGCAACTTTTCTGCATATGCTGCTAAGATGCTTGTGATGCTGAAGTGTTCTTGATGGAAGAAAAGTGGAAGGTGATTTGGAGGAGATTCTCACATCTGTTATCATAAATTCTCTTTGAAATGCCCTTTGCAACTTTTTATTCTGTTCCTGAGGTGGAAAAAGCTGTCATCTTGAGGCTGACCTTCTAGTGCGATGTACACAATCTCTCAGGGAGAATTTTTTTTTCTTCTCTTACACCAGACAGCCCCTGGGGTCCTCATCTCATCATTTCAGATCTGGAGCAATTAGGGTACCTGCTTGTAAAATGCTCTCCTTCCTCAAAAGTAGGACATATAGTTGATGCTTTAGAACAGCAGTGTTATCCAGGGCAGTCATGTGGAAGGTGGTCACTTTCTCCACAATGTAAGCATAAGCCTTATGTGCAACTACACAACTTTTCTCAGGCAAATAGTGGAGTTCCTAGTCTCTAGCTGTGTGCATTTAACTTCCAAATTTTCTGATGAGCAGAGGTGGCTGGGGTGGGGAGGAGGAAATGATTGCATCTGATTCTGCTCCTTGAATCTCCCATTGGTACCCAAGCAGATCTGGATTAATTCAAACAAAGTCTCTGTTTTGTTGTCCTAAATTTAATATAATCATCCCTCTTTGAGCTAGTCAGTTAAGCTCTTTTCATTCCATCCCACATCCTGAGCTCACTGAATGTTGGCAGTATATTCTCACATGCTGCCCTGTCAGAGTTGATGGATCTTTGTCTCAACTTTTCAAGTTAACCAACTTTGTGCCACTATTTTCTGAGCTTTGAAGTCCCTTGCCACCTGTCCCTGATATAACGGCTCTGTCTGGTGTGAGAATCAGGGAGTCTCATGTAACCAGCTTAGCACTTACACATAGCCCAGGAACACATGGCACCATATTTAATTCACTGTTGATGTATTTCAGAATGGCATGGAATCTATTATGGATTTGTAAATTATAGGCTTGGTCCAGAACTATTTCCATCCCATTCAGTTTTCCTTCTTACCTATGTATATTTGTTTGCAGTATAACTCTACCCTTTTCTACTATAGACAATCCACTGTCTCTCAGAGCCTTTTCTCACCATAAAGTTGAAGTATTCTTCGCCTATCCTTGAGTTGGCAGAATACTACAATAGCATGAAAATTGCTCTCCTCATTGCCAATTCTGATCCTGCCTCAATTGCCTCTGTTCCCAGTCACTGTCTGTCACGAGACTTCCATCCAAGGTAATAGATGACAAAGCCTAATAGATCTGACACATCTTGGCGCTGTCGCATGATGAGTCAGAAGAATGGGAAAATACTAGACAAGTCCAAATAAAGGGGAAATGCCACTTTAACAGTAGTACAGCTAAGAATGACTTAAGCCTGTACCAGTCATCAGCTGGGACAGAGCAAGAACAGAAGCAAACAAAAACTGAGGGCAAGTGGGGAAAAGCCTTTTCAGTTTCCTATTTATACCGTGAGGATCACAATGCCTTTTAAAATTATTATGACAGGGCTTCCATAAAGATTCTAGGAGATGGCTGAGATACTGGGTTTTTTAGTTCTTGTTTCAGTTTCATGATTATGATTTTATGGTTTTATGGCCAGTAGTTTTATTACTGTTGCCCTCCTCACCTAATAGCACTTCTATCTTTTTTGTTAAGAATATGGATGACTCCATTCAGATTGTCCATGATGAACATGGACAATCCTAAACTCTGCAGCTATTAGAAATCACTATTGCATTCCTCTCATTTCTGAGTTCTTAGAGAAGCTACAGGAGGCTCGCTTTTTTTTTTTTCAGCCCTACATTTTCGTTTACATGAATGAAGATAATGAACATTACCTGGCTTTGCCTCTTAGCCCTTCAAGATAGGCAGGTCAAGAAACATGCCACAAGCAATACTGGGAGTCAAATGTATTGATATAGGCTATAGTAACAAAATATTGAAAGCCTGCAGAATTTTCCCTCACTCCCTCTTTTATTCCAGAGAGGTAAGGTGGAGCTAGTTTGAGTTTTTTTTAATGTTCTCTTCCTGTCTGGATTTAAATCATGTTTTGCTAACAGCCATCATATAGTTCCTCTATAATCATCTCTGTGGTCCTCTACACCTACTATGGGAAGTTAGTACAGGTAGTCCCTGGGTGAAGAACTCCTGGTATACAGATGACCCATAGTTTTGCCTATTGTAGCAAAAATTGAGTTAAATATACAGTGATTTGAGTTAAATATATAACTCATTTCATTCCCTATCATGACTTTCCCTCTGCTTCTGAAATGGTTCATTTGTTTATTCAACAACTTTACCATCATTTCTGACTGGAGCATACATTCATGAAAACTTTTATCTATTGGCTGTAAAACCCTACCTATCCTCTGTCCACTGTCCATAATTGCACAGTGGAACAAGTGGCACCTTGGTGCAACACTATCAGCAAGACAATTGGCCTGATTGTAAGTCTGCTTACCATGACTCAGTATAACCCAGGTATCACCATTTCAGGCAATGTATGGTTGCCATCTATTCAGCCAAATGGATCTCAACCCTATCCTCCATTTTCTCCAGGGACTGCAGACTGTTCAGTGTCTCCTGAGGTGTCAGCTGGACCATTCCCAAGGACTCCTGCAAATACACTTCTGACCATCATCACTAGGAAACCTTCCCCTTCATTGTTGACACAGCTCTGGTTTCTACCATATATCTTCCATCCATATGAACATTTCAGAAGCTGGGTGTCAGGTTTATGGACCATTTTCTATATTTGCACAAAGGATACCATTTTAGGTTAAAGAAAACAAAACCCCACAGACTCCCTTCATTTGAGAAATAAGACTATTTATTTATTTATTTATTTATTTATTTATTTATTTATTTTCAGGAAAGAGATTAGAGGTACAGAAATGTTGTTGGAATACCTTTCCTGAGAGGATGTATCTAAGTGACTATTT